GACAGAATACCTAAGAGTGGGAGTCCTTCCCACAGCCTGGGAGCATACGAAAGAGCAGATTATTCTACGGGCCACTGAGAAAATGTCAAATTAATTTCCAGAGTAGTCAAGTCTTGGGTGATAGCTTATGATGAAGAGGAGACGTGGACTTTTCCTTTCCCCAACTCAAATCCCATTGCCCCATTGCCCAGTTTCCATCAGGTGCAGGATGCCCAGAGAGCCAGATCCTGACTGCCATATTCACACCTATTCTGGAAGTATTCCAGAGTCCCTGTCTATTTTGACACTTAAACCAGCTTCTTATTGGTGATCATCTGCACTACCATTACTCTCCAAGATGCTCAGGGGTTTGCCATTTGTCCTTTGCTTTCCTTGTCAGAACTCAAGTACTACCTGGCCTTTCCACCTGCCATGAACTAAGCATAAACAGAAGCCCTCCTTTATATGTTATCTTTCCCATTAGAGAGTGAGCTCCATGACAGCAGGGATTGTCTGGATTTTCTATTTGTATTCTGTAAGTGATTATGCCTAAGTGATTAATAAAAGTTTTTCTGTTCAAGTCCATGTTACTAGGGGGGTGTCCTCTGTATATTAGCTTATTTGCTAGAAACAATATTTAACTCATCATTAACCTATTAGCCAAACATTTCTAGTTTAAAAATGGTCAGATTAGAATAGTTTCTCACGGTGTCCAACATGACTTTCTACCTTAAGACAATGTTAGGTAACATTTATAGGAATACCAAAAAAGAAAAATCGCAACATGCAAAAGTCCAGAATATGCAAGATTCAAGAACAGTTAAGTAACAATCTCATTCCCTCCTGGACTACTCCTCTTACTTCTATAGTAAACAAATCGATATCTTCCTTTCCAAGTATTACTTAATCCTTTCTCAAAGAAAGACCTTTTTATCCTCAACATATCATTCACCTTTCCAAGGGACTTTCCCCAGGACTCTGGAAAGGTCTTTTTAGACCACAGAAATATTCCTTAATATGTTTAGTTTTACTTTTACAAAATAGGAGGTTTTTAACTTGCTTCCATAATTTGGAAATATTGGGCCAGAACCCTGACTTGGAAGCTAATGTGGTTTATTGCTGAATTATACTCTGACTTTATATGAGCAACTTGATTTCTCTGTCCCAGTTTGCCCATTTACGAAAGAGAAATAATAATAATAATATCACTTTCCTACCTACTTCAAAATAATATTATGAAATTTAAAAATCAAATTGTAGAGTATGTCGTGTTCCTTTGAGAAAGGTATTGAATAATCTATTTCAGGGTTCTTTTTCAAGATTGTAAACTCCATGAGGGCAAGAATATTATCTTTTTTTTCCCCGTATCTTATACAGTACTTATTTCAATACGTATTTGTCAACTTGAAGTTTAATGTTGATGTCCCAAGTATGTCCCAAATAACTAGCACAGTTAGCTCTTCACAAGCAAAATTAGATTCACTTTGTGGGAAATTGTGAATCTGCTTTTGGGATTTCACAGAGACACAAACCTAGTTAGAGGGCTCACCTCCACAGGTTAGGAAGGTCATAGGATTTACAGCTGGAAGGGTCCTCTGAGGTCATGTATTCCAATCCCCTGTTTCACGGATGAGGAAACTGGGGGCCACAGAGGTAAATTGACTTTCTTGAGGTTACCCAGTTAGAAAGTGGCAGATACCTGCTTCCCAACAGTGGGGTAATGGGATAAGAATGCAAACTGAGATGTGTTTTTGGGGACATGGCCAATGTGGGAATTTGTTTTTCTTGACTGTAAGATGAATGCAATAGTAACAGGAGTTTTTTTTTTCTTTCTTGGAGTGAGAATGGGCCTCTCATAGCAAAGGAATGAGGATCTGTCTGTAGCTGCTTGGTACTTACTCACCCACGATCTGTTTGTGAGGGTAGGCTGCAGAGGGGTGAAAGGGCAGGAAGGCAGATTTTTGTTAATTGAAAAAAATGTTAACTTTAAATTTTTTTTTACAAATTGCAAGGCCAAGATGGTAAACCAAGTCCTTTGACTTCAAATCTAGCACTCTTTCTACCATACCACATAGAAATGGACTAGCTGAGAAGTTCTGGTCTCAGCTAACAACAACTGGGTTTTTGAGAGGCAGTTTTTAATCAATCAATAAGCCTTTATTAATAGATTACCATGTTCTAAGCACTTTGCTGAGTGCTGGGGATACAGACACAAAACTGAAAGAGTCCCTGTCCTCAGGATCTTACATTCTAACAGAGGAGACCACACATACACATGCAAATATATTCTGAACACACACAAAAGGAATACAAAGCATCATACAAAACTTCTGGGTGGTGCAGTGGATAGAGTGCTGGGTCTGGGGTCAAGAAAACCTGAGTTTAAATTTGACCTCTTACACTTATTAGCTGTGTAACCCTGGACAAGCTTACTTTGTCAACCTCAATTTCCTCAATCGTGAAATGGGGATAATAATATCACCTACCTCCAAGGGATGGTGTGAGAATCAAATGGAATAATTGTAAAGCACTTAGCACAATTCCTGGCACACAGTTGATGCTTCTTTCCTTTCTTCTTCTTTTCCTTCTTTTCTTCTTTCTTTTCTTCCTTCCTTCAGGAAGGGGTGCACAAGAAGCTGGGAGGATCAGGAAAAGCATTGTGTAGAAGGTGTCACTTGAGCTCACTCTGAGTTTTCTATGATTAAGAGAACACTAAACTAAGATTAAGGAGACCTGGGTTTGTGTCCTGATGCTGCCAATGTCTTCTCTTTTGTGCCATGTGTAATGATTTTATTATTTTTTAAATTTGATCGATGCCTTTTGATTTGTGCACCACAGACATTCCCTAATTTCCCCACATCACCTAAACCCTCCCTTGTCACCAAGAAAACCAGTTAGCTCTGCCTCTTTCCAGCTGGATGACTTGAGTCACAAGACCTTGTGCACCATTGGCCTCAGTTTCTATGAGGATGAGGATGATGGTAAGCACCAGCATTGTATGGAGCACCTTAAGGTTTGCAAAGTGACTTCCATGTTGCTTAATTTGATCCTCATGACAACCCTGGGAAGTAATTAACAATAACAACAGCAGTAATATCAGTAAAATAAGACTTTGAGGTTTACAAAGAACTTTCTTTACATGTGTTATCACCTTTTATCATCACAACAACCCTGTGAGGTAGGTGTTCTTACTGTTATCATTTTACAGATGAGGAAACTGGGGCACAGAGAGGTTAAGTGACTTGCCAAGGTCACACAGCTAATAAGTGTTTAGTCATTTTTTCAGTCATGTCTGCCTTTACATGACCCCATTTCTTTTTTTTTTTAAAATAAGATTTTATTTCATCTTTTTTTTTCTTTTGGATGGGGCAATTGGGGTTAAGTGACTTGCCCAGGGTCACACAGCTAGTAAGTGTCATGTATCTGAGGCTGTATTTGAATTCAGGTCCTCCTGATTCCAAAGCCGGAGCTCTATCTACTGCACCACCTAGCTGCCTACCCCATTTGAGGTAGGCGAGATACTAGACACTGGTTTGCCATTTCATTCTCCAGCTCATTTTACAGATGAGAAAACTGTAGCAAACAAGGTAAAGTGACTTGCCCAGGGTCATATAGCTAGTAAGTGTCTGAGGCCAGATTTGAACTTAAGAAAATGAGTCTTCCTGATTCCAGGCCTGACACTGCACCTTCTAGCTCCACGTGTAGCCTCCAGACCAAAGGTTCCCCACCTCTGTCCTAACTGCTTGCAAGTACCTGAAGCAAAATTTGAACTCAGGTAGGTGCTATCATTGTCCCCATTTTGCAGATCAGGAAACTGAGGCTGAAAGAGATTAAGAGATTTGCCCAAGGTTATACCGCTAGTAAGTGTCTGAAACAGGACTCAAATTCAAGTCTTCCTGATGCCAAGGCCAGCACTGTATCTACTAGGCCACCCACCTGCTTCTTCAACCATCTCCACTAGATAACATGTAGTTAAAGTGCTTTGTAATCCTGAGCTATGATGCAAATGTATTATTATTATTATTACTCTATTGACCAAGGAGGAAGTACTTGTGTGAGAGAATAGGAAGAAAAATCAGCCACAGAGCAAGAAGGGGAAACACTAAATAGTCATGTGGGCCGAGGAGAGGAAACCCTCCCTACTTCACAAGTTGAAAACCTCACCATAAGGGAATGAGGAGATGAATTCTGTGGCTTATTTGAATTTCTACTTCCCTTGTTTGGTTGCAGACAAATTCTATCTGCAGCTCCTTAATGCTTTTCCGTGATCTATTTGTCACTTGCAGGTTTTATTCTGAAAGCCAGCAGATTTTATTAAGACTGAGGATTATGAGGCTATATAGTGTTTTTTGTGCAGTCTTCTATGGTTTGGGTGTTTTTATTCAAGGATTATCAAATTTCTGTCAGCAGGAGGGAATATTAATAATTCTGCTAGGAGATTTGCTAGAGAAGATCTAAAAAATTCTGATCTGAAAGTGGCCATGAACATACTCTAAGAAAATTCAATTTCTCTCCTGGCCTCTTGAAAGAACGCCCTCATGTCTCTTAAAAAAAAAAAAGGGTCTCTACCCAGCCTTCTACAGAGCGATAGAGAAAATTACTGATGATACTAACTCATGCCTTGTTCATTTGGGGAGCCAGTCTCTTTGTAGAATTACTTCTGAGCTTTTCCTTTCCACCAGCAATAGAATTCAGTATCTGCCATCAGTTACTTGAAAGGTGACTGTGAGAAGCAGATTTTTCAGGGGGACTGGCCAATTAGGCTCTGAGTACTTCAGAGGTGTAATTTTCATCAGGTGTTTGATCTCAGGTAACATATGAGGTCACTGAAGCCTTGAATGGAGCTTAAAAGGCTTTACACAGTGAACCAGTGACAGAGGATTAGAAAGCACAGTGTCCTGCCTTCCATCTCCTCGAGTCCCAGGCAAGCCAGAGCTATTCAGCCCAGTGAGGAGTCATGGGATCTAAGAGGACAATGTGGGGGATGTGAGGAGTTAACTCTATTTCTCTTACTGTTGTCAGATGTGATGCTTTGATTCGCTGGGATGATGCTGACACTGCTTTTAACCTGCTGGAAACAGCTGGCTGCTAAGGTAGGAATGGCCGTGAAACAGCTGGAACTTGAGTCAGCCACACTGAATTGGAATGGGGGAGGGTGGGTTGATTGGGCTTGGGGGTTGAACATTTTTGTCATGGTTGGATGGTTTTATTTGCCCACCTGTGAATAAAATAGTGTACAGTCACATTCAGAAGCATAATCATAACCATAAGACAGAGAGTTAAAAATAAATTAACATTTTCTCTAGAGACTGTAGAATTCCCCTTTTAAAAAGTATGTTGGGGGATATTGCTGCTGCCTATAGATCCATCCACAGGAAGAGTGACTAGTTGAGTAGCAGCCCTCACTTAACTCCCTGTTCTGGACATCTTCCCCCAACAAGCCATCTCGTTCCGCAGGTGGATCCTCCCTGATGTTTTTGCAGCTGCTACTATGCCAGAATGAATGGAAAGAAAAGAGCTGATTAGAAAAAAGAGAGAGGTAAAATGGTGTAGAGCAGAGGTTCTTACACTGTTTTTGTCTTCCTGGTCTCCATAGGCAGTCTAGTGAAGTCTATGGACCCCTTCTCAGAAAAATGTTTTTAAATCATTGAAGGAAATGCTATTTTCCTTAGCAGTTAAAGGTTGGTGGAAATAAAGATGCATTTTTTTACTATCCAAGGTCAATATCACCTGACCTCTAATCATGGACTACTTGGAGGGCCTTGGGTCCAAGCCAATGTACAGGGTCAAGAGATTCAGGTTCTATCCTAATTACCACTTGGAGGCAGCATGGTGAGGGGATCCAGGCTTTGGAAACCTGGGTTCGAATCTTGGCTCTGCCACTTACAATATGTATGATATTGGTAAGTCACATCACAGAATTTGGGAGTTGGAAAGGACCTCAATGGCCATCCATAGTCAAATAGAGTCCCCACTCTCATACCTAACAAGGGGGTTGAATCTTATTTTCTTCAGGTTAAACAGTCCCTTTAACCAATGCTCATAGGGCAAAGACTCAAAGCCCTTCCTCCTAGTTGCCTCCTCTAAACATTGTCCAGCCTATCAATGTCCTTCTTAAGCTATAGTGCCCAGAATTGGATACAATATTACAGATAAGCTCTATTTCCTTGAGAGCGTGGATTGTTTTTTGTCTTTCTCTGTAGCCCCAATGGTTATCATCAAGCCTGGCAACATAGTCAGAATTTAATAAAAGCTTGTTGACTTCACTTCACTTCTACAGATCTCATTTTCCATATCTATAATATAGAAGTGTTGGACTAGGTCTCTTCTAGCTCTAAATCTATAATATGTTTTTTAAAAAAAAGGTTTTGCATTAGGTGATTTCTTTCAGCTCTAAGATTCTAGCGTCTAAGGTAGGAATGGCCATGAAACAGCTGGAAATTGAGTCAGTCACACTGAATTGGAATGGGGTAGGGTGGGTTGGTTGGGGGTGGGGGTTGAACATTTTTTCATGGTTGGATAGTTTTATTTGCCTCTTCCTAAGACCAGGCATACCCCACAAAACATTGCCTTGACCAATGTCATCTTGCAATGTCTTAAATACGATATAACCAAACCCTCATTTTGCAGATTAAAAAAAACAACTCCTCAATTGAGGTTATGTGGTTTATCAAAATGGGGTGGGTTCAGAAGGCCATTCATCAGCCTTCATCTGCACATATGTTTACCTTTGCAATGTGCAGGTAAAGATCTGGACAAACCATACCCCAAGGCTTGAGAATTTTGTTTTAGCTCTAGGAGTCTCTCCACAGAGTTGGAGGCCATGTGGATTTTTTAGCTTTCAAGGAAAAATGAAACAAAACAAAAATAAGAGCAGTCTTTTCTATAGGCCATTGAGTCCCAACCTCAGGGTGAGATCCAAGTCAGGGTCTTAGAAGTTCTTCTGGAAGAACACCAATAAAAAGATCTTAAAAGCTCTTCAGCTCAAAGAGGAAGCTCATCACATCTAGTGAGGCCAGACACAGACGGGCAAAAGCCCTACCAAAAAGTTACTCCTTTTCAGAAATATAGCTCAAATCTAAACTAGAATGGGGGCATGAGGGACACATGAGAAACTCAAGGAGCACCCAACTCTGTTCTTGTTGCCTTTACCAAGTATCTAATGGAGCTGAATTTATTATCCATTTATTTTCTTTTAAGTTTCTTAGAAATTTTATTTAAAATAACTTTATTTCCATGCTCAAAAGAATCAAAGGAAATGAAGGTATAAAACAATTACCTAAATATTAAAATTACTTATATGAGATTGTGGATTGAAGAGCTAACATTCTCTGTAATATTTAACTTAGTTTGATTAATTTTTTTTTGAGGACAGATGTTGTAGTGATGCTTCTCCAATAATAATCATATATTATTCTCTCTTCACCCCAATCAAGATTGTTTAAATAGACTAGTAGCCATTTCTCAACTTCCCAGTTCTCCTCTGGGAGTCTGGTGACTGGTTTGATAAATATGCTTCACTTGCTTAAGTTATATTTCTATAGAGAGGAATTATAGCATAGATCACATCCCATTATGTCAACCTTCTATGGAAATCCAAATATACAGTATTATTTGAAGTAGGTTAATATTGTTATGTAGTAGTGCTTTATCACTAATCCCTCCACTAGGAAACAGTTATAGCTGGCTATTAGATTAAATAAGGTTTTGGGTTCTTCTTATACTATTTTCATTCATAAATCTCTCTCACCCCAAGATACGAACATAAGTAAGAGAATATTAACCATTTGATGAAGAAATCAAACATTCAATCTTTTGCATCCATTTCCTTTTCTCCCCTATCATCTTTTTCAACCCTTATCATCTCCTCCAGGGCCACTAAAAAAAACTGTCCTAATTCGCAATCCTACATATAGTCTCTCCTATATTACCAAAGAGCAGGTCTAACCCTGTCATTCCCCTGCCAAAGGAACCTCTTGTGGATTGCTATTAGCCCTAGGAAACATGAAAACTCTTCTCTTTGGTGTTTAAAACCCTTTACAATCAGGTTCCCAACTATCTTTCCCTACTGAGGATTCGTGCTTCATTCCACGTAAACTGTTCTACTCCCTGGCCCTCACCCATCTTCTTTCTCCATTTTCCAGCTGTTCCCCTCAACCTCTGTGCTCCCTCCCTCTTCACCTCAGCCTTCTTAGAATTTAGCTCCATTCAAGGCTCATCTCAAAGACCAGCTCCCACATAAGATCTTTCCTGTTTCCTCCCATACCAATAATTTTTAAAAATCACTTTATATTCATTCTGTACACATTTTACATGTATTTTTCTGTGTTCATGTTGTTGTTTCTTCTACCTGGCCATTTCCCCAGCCTCACCACACCACACTATAAGGTATAAACTCCTTAAGGTCAGGGATGGTTTTCACTTACTCCTTTCATGCCCAGTGCCTGGCACAGAGAAGATACTTATAATAAATGCTTGTTGAATGATCATGAAATGAAGAGGAAGAACGAAGCACCATTATATAGTCAGGGCTAAGACTGGATCAGAAGTGCTAAATGCCATGACAACCTGCTGCCTGGGATTTGTCCAGCTTTGCTATTCCATTACATTAATCTTAAAGAAAAAAAAACAACAGTATAACAAATGGCATTAATACAAGGAGCTACTACTTGTGTGCATATGTGTGTGTGTGTGTGTGTGTGTGCATAGTAACACTTGGGTCAAGCAAGCAAGCATTTATTAAATACCTACTTTGTGGCAAGCACTACAATAGATTCTAGTATGTGAAATCTGAAATAAAAAGTTACATTGGCTTATAGATTTAGAACTAGAAGGGACCTCAGAAGCCTTCTGGTCTGACCCCTCATTTGGCAAGATGAGGAATCTGAGGCCCAGGAAGGTCAAAGGTCTGGCCCAGAATTTGAACCCAAATTCCAAGTGTATATTTGTGTATTTCTGTGTATGTTTGCACACATCAGCTATAAAATGAAATTATGGGATTTTTTTGTTTTTTGATCATTTCAGTCATGTCTGACCCCTTGTGACCCCATTTGGGGTTTTCTTGGCAAAGATACTGTAGTGGTTTGCCATTTTCTTTTCCAGCTCATTTGACAGATGAGGAAACTGAGGCAAACAAGGTTAAGTGACTTGCCCAGGGTCACACAGTTAGTGTCTGAGGCTAGATTTGAATTCACAAAGATGAGTCTTACTGACCTCAGGTCCAGCATTCTATCCTCTTTGCCACCTAGCTGCCCAATTATAGGATTAGTTGATCTTAAAATTCCCTTCAGCTCTTGATTTCTATGATTTACATATATATATATATATATATATATATATATATATATATATATATTTGGCAAGTATGTATGTAAATATGTATATATTCAAGTATATATGAATAAGACCATTCCCTCTCCTGGTCCACTTCGATGCTTTCTGGAAGGACCATCCCCAAAAGCTCCAGCCAAATAAGAATGTGTCCCGTGGCCTAAGTCCTCAAGAAAAGGAAATGCCACACCCTGGTCCCTTCCAGTGGCATGACCATCTGTTATGCTCTAGTTCTCCTGTTCTCCGCTCAGCAGAGGCTGCAAGCAGCACAACCTCATCTTTCTTAAGATTTCTCTTCACATCCTTGGACTCCAATTAAGTTACTCTTCATGCAAAACAGCATCAGTTTCATTAACTTCTCGTGACCCTCATTCCTCATTTCTGTGGCCTTCTTAGATATACAATACTTTATTCAACTAGAGATCTCAGTTTCATAAACTGGATAGGAAAACTGTGTTTTTATAGTATTACACCATCTTTCAGTTGAGTAGTCTGTCCTGTTCCCACACACACATACCTCCAATTGCTCCATAATGCTAATGTGGTAGCAATGGCAGTTTCCTTGAACTCTTGGTCATCCTGGTTGTACAACTAAAGAAATGCCCCATGAACCTTCTCTATTCCCTTCCCTTGTCCCAAATCAACAAACACTTCTGGTATTGCCTAGCAGCCAGTTGCCATATCTCCAACCTATTCCCACTATTGCTTCCCGTGTTTCTAACTAGAAGCCAACTCCCCTCTATTGCAAACCACCACTCTTTCC